TTTGGAAAAATAACAAAGCTAGATTCATCAAACTCGGCTGTCGTGTGTCGGATTTCAGATCAGATATATTTCTGAAGTTTTGGCGGAATGACTTGACAGGTTTGAGTAGCTGTCATTCAACTCCAAAAGAAATTTTTAAATATTTGGAAAAATATTAAGGCTAGATTCATCAAACTCGTTTCAATTATTAAGGCTAGATTCAAGTTTCTATTGAGTGGTTTGACAGAGTCAAGTAATTACCATTTGGAAATTGAAGATATTGCTAAATATTTCAAAAACAAGTTTTTAAACTCAGTTTGTCAAAGTGCGGAGTATTATTCAATCGGCTTATACCGACTGAAACGTTTTTACTTGTTAATATTTCAATTTATTATTTTTAATAATAAATTAAAATTTATTTAATAATTTTATTTCTCCACTTATTTTTTAATTACTTACATAAAATATTTTAGTACATACATATATATACATATGTGAACCCCTTGTCAAAATTAAATAATGCGTTCCTGTCAATCCGAATATTATTAATCGGAATAAGTTCTTATATTTAAATAAAATACTGTTATTTTTAAAATAAAAATATCACTTTTAAATCTCAAACATTATTTGTTAATTAGGCACTCCCTTTCTTTTATAAAACGTACGACAAAATTATTAAAAATGAAATTTTAATCACTAATATCACATCACATTAAAATTTACATATGTATGTATGTACATATTTGTAAATTATATAAGTTAAAGTATTTTTGTTGAATTTTGTATTTTATACACCATAATCTTTGTTCACTCAGCTAAAATATTACACAACTACATATATTTTTCTTAAATATGTATATATAAACTACATATACATATTTTCTTTTGCTAAAATGAAAAATTCAAGTTTTAAAATTTCTTAAATTCAGCAATTAATTTCTATTTCTCGATTTAATGCATTCGTTTATATACTATATTTTATGTATTTAATTAAGCATTCTTGCTTGTTATTCAAAATAGAAATAAAATTTCAAAATAATTTCAGACTTCAATAATTTTAGTTTTTATTTTTATTTTTTGAGAATATTATAAAGCGGTTCTACTTTTATGACAATTGTATTTTTTGTGCTTTTAAAAAAATGTTTTCATCCAAATTAAACTAAATTTTAACGAATTTGAAAGTATTAAAAAATTTAGGAAAATGTTTAAAATTACTTTTACTTCATTTTTTAAAAAAATATGTATGTACAAATTTAGCAATATTCCAACCGTTTATTAACAACTATCGAAAGGTTTTTTCTACATTCCAACACGTTGAAAAACCGACTGAATGAATGAACTAGATAATAATTTTAAAATATTGTTTGTTTTACTGAATTTTAAGAAATAAAACAACAGAAAGAAAGATAAAAGAACTTTTTTTATTAAAACAGTTGTGCATATGTATGTGTCCAAAATGAGACTACGCTATTAATTCTGTTCTTCTAATTTTAGGATACTTTCAATTTTTGTGTAAGTATTTTATCATTTTTAAAAAATTTCATATAAATAATGTTTTTGACAGCACAATTTCCCTAAACTAATAAATACATACATATTATTATTTTTACATTTACGCAATGATCATTTCATACTGACCCATATAATGTTTATGTTACATATATTGAATATTGTAGTAATTCAATTAATTATGAATTTTTTTAATTTTATTGAATATTTACTATTGACAATGAATTTAAATTATTTAGATATGCATATTTATAAATACAACAAATAACATTAAATTACTTCAAAATTATGATTTCTATGACAGTATTTCTATTGTTATATATGTATTTCATAATCCATTTAAAGGGTTTTGTAAGTGTTTTATTATCATAAATGTTCCCATCTAATTTTAAACTTTTCTTTATAAATAACACAAATATTGTGTTCACATATTTTATGTAAGTAAAATGTAAAAAATTGAAGTAGCGATCTTTCTTTTACATAAAGAAATTTTAAAATTTAGAATTATTTTTAATATTTATTATAACAAATTCGATAAGAAGAAATGTTATCATATTGGATTTTTTCTTACAAACATACATACATATGTACGTATGTATGTACATAAATACGATTTTTTGAGGAACGAAAAAATTTTCTTTCATAGACAACAAAGAAGCAAAAATATTTTATTAAACAGAAGAAAAAATACGTGTTTTGTTTTGCAAGTGACGTAGAACGCAATTTAAGCAAATACAAAAATATTGCGTGCGGAGTCTTTTTTTCATCAAGATGCATACATATTAAAATTTTAACTTAGAAAATATAAAGAATTTAATTTTGTTTTTGCGTAAAATAAAGAAATAAATGTATAAAATTCGTCTTAAATGAAAGGGCAGCGAGCGAAAAAGAGAAACTAGTAGATTCAAAAATTTATATGTATGTATGCATAAACCAAAATAAATAATGATTACAAAATTGTCTAAAAATACTTATTCTAATGTTTGTGAAATTTTGATTTTATTTAAAGAAAAACAAATGATTGATTATTGCTTGTTTATGATTCGTAAGGCAACTGGCTTGATGGAATCTTAAAAACGTGATATACATACATACACACGTATAGATATTTTACGTAATTTCAATTGATTTTTTTTAGAAAATTAAATATAACGATAATTTTTAAGTTCTACTTCATTTTAAAAAATGTATGCTATTATTTAGTGATTTTTATACCCTGCACCTTTCACAAGTTGCTTCTTTTGTGCAATTGACGGCTGCTATTGTTATTGAACCAATTTGGACGAAGGGTTCGGGTAGCTCCCATACAACTCAAAGAGATGTGTTTAAATATTTCAAAAACTAACAAAGTATAATATACTAATATACTATATATAAAGTATAATATACTATATAATATACTATATAATACTTAGTACTATATTATATAAAAAAAATTTTAAACTCAGATTGCTAAGGTGCAAGATATAATTCGTTCGGTTTATACCGACTGAAACGTTTTATCTTGTTATTATTAGCATTAACCCTACGGCTATTACACTATTTTTTCATTTTCAATTGAAGGGCCAAATACAAAATATGTTAATTCTCAACTTTTTTCGAAATTACGTTGTATTATATTTGTATTCCAAAATAAATTAAATACATATTATGTGTTTAAGACAATAATAATAATGTAATATCTGGCTGTCTATTGAGTGTCACTTGAAAATTAAAATAAAGAAATTTTTACTTCAGAAAAAGTACGTTAGAAAAGTTCTTGACAGTTTGAAATACATACATACATATTCATCAGTTTTTCTCGCTTAAATACTTAAAATCTATTTAAAAATCTATTTAATGAACAGAATTAGTTACTGTGATTTATTTCTCGAACCTTAAATTTAATGAAAATACTCTTTATTAACAAATTAAAGTCAAAGTCGATATTTCAATATTTTAATAATTAAGTAAAAATAAAATAAAAATAATCCCCGTGTAAATTCTAATTTTAGGAATTGAAGATAAAAAAATTTTAAAAGTTTCAGCTTTGAAATATTTTTGAAAATAATTTTTTTCTAAAATAAAAAAGTTTTCTTAAAAGTTTAAGAAAAATTAAAAAGTTTGTTTTTTAATAAAAACCTGCTGGTTACCCTATTTTAGAAGCCCCTGCCTTGTTTTGTAAGTTATAAGCAAAAAAAACTTTTTTTATGCTTATATAACTTATAAAACAAATTTTTTGAGCACGAAGTTGTCTTTATACCCCTGAACAAATTTCGTCAAAATTGGTTAAAATCCCTGTACTTCAGAAATCCTTGAGATTCGGCACCTAATCTGTAAAAAAAACTTTAACCATTTTTGACTTTCTAACCAATGCTATATTTCGACAATGAGATTTCGACTCTAAGAGAAAAAAAATCTGAATATATTTTAATTGTAAAATAACATTTCTTAAAAAACTCTTCATAAAATTTTTAAACAAGCGTATTTATATGATAACGTCTTAACATGAATTAACATTCATGTATAATATAAAATGTTTTTTGGGTACATATTTATGTACTATTAACGAAAAAAAATCTTTAACTGCATTAGTAACGTACTTTCAGTTTTAATTAAAAATATGATATATTTTTTGCAAAATTTTTTGAAATTTTTCGAGTTAAAGAGATTTTTACTTTTATGGGAACTGAATTTTATTTCGAGTTATAAAATAATTTTTTCACACGTTTTCGAGGTAAGGAGATTTTCGAGTTGTAGACACTGTATTTTTAAAATATAATTCTATAATGAATATTGTATTTGAATAAAGTATTGGTTATTATTCTATGCATCTAAATCAAAATAGAAGTTAAAAAATATCTAAATTAAAAAATTTTCAACATCACTTACTTCAAGTTTTAAATAGTTTTGAAGCAATAATTTGATTTTCTTATTACAATTTTTAAATTATGATTTGTTATGATGAGGTAGTGTAAACTCATTTTAAATCACAAAAACTATTGCATACTGTCAGGGTAAACATTTTTGTTTCGGCAAGTTTTAATATGTAAATTTTTATTGCATACATTTAGGAATACATGCTTAAAACAAGTAATACACGTTCTATTGTCGTAATAAGATATTGTCGTATTGTGTAAAAAGCAATTCAAGCGATAAGTGTAATGATTTTTATGATTAGGTGCTTCTAGATAATGACTTTATACTTTGTGAAGACATAGCCTATGATGAGACAAGAAAATCTTACTGTAAAACTTCAACCAAAAAGTCTTTGAAGGACGATAAGGACTGTTAGAGATAAAAATTTAAAAATCCTTATACTTCTTTTAAGCAACGTAGTTATTACAAGTGAAATTATCCCTAATGTTTCAAAGTGAGGTAGGAAACGCAAGATACATTTTCGAAGTAAACGATTTAATATTTTTACGAGTACTATTTATGTATAAGCAAAAATTATATAATTGTACATAAATAAAAAAACTTTTAGATTCTCTATCGTGTTCAGCTCAAATATGCTTAAAAAAAAAACTTACTCAGATCAAAATCCTCAATGCTATCTGCCTTTGCTAAAACATTGGCTGGTTCTGTTCTAATCAATGGGCTTTGAAACAAATAATTGTTTTCGCTACCAACGCCACGGTTAAAAAGAAAAGTTACTTTACAATCCTTTGGGAAACGATGATCTGAAATTTGCAAATTAAAAGTAAATAATTTTTATTTCAATTTAAAAATACAAATGTGTATATATATGTGCATACATACATCGTTATTTTTATACCCTGCACTTCGTGAAGGAGTCATCTGCGGTATGGACATATATATATATTCTTGCTCAGCGTAAAATTCTGCGTTGATTTAGACATGTCCGTCCGTCCGTCCGATCGCACGATAACTCAAAAACATAATGCAATCGACACCGAACTTTCACAAGTTATTTGTTTTGTGCCAAAGACGAACCCTATTGTAAGTGGGCTAATTCGGACAACGGGTTCGGGCAGCTGCCATACAACTCAAGGAGTTTATTTTAAATATTTCAAAAACTAATAAAGTTGTAAATATAAAGTTTTGTATACATGTGTCCAATTATATTTTACACATGCTCTAAAAAGTTTAATGGGATAGCTGCACCGGTTCGGCTGGCTGCCATTCAACTCCAAAAGCAAATTTTTTATAATCGGCAAAATAATAAAGTCAGATTCATGAAACTTGGCAGTTATGTGTCCAGTTATAGATCAGATATATTTTTGAAGTTTTGGTTGAAATGCTTGACAGGTTTGAGTCCATACAAGACCAAAAGCTTATTTGAAATATCTGGAAAAATAATAAAGTTAGACTCATGAAACTTGGCAGTTGTGCGTCCAGTTATAGGTCAGATATATCCGTGCAGTTTCTATAGAATGGTTTCACAGGTTTAAGTAATTGCTATACAAAGGTGCAGGGTATAATTCAATCGGTTTATACCGACTGAAACGTTTTTACTTGTTTTAATTTAACATTAAACAACTTACCACACCAAGCATAATCTAAATCTTCTTTTCTGAAAACAACTTCTTTCGAATCCATTGCACATGTATGAAATTGCAACGAAAACAGTAATTCGCGGCATTCATTACTCTCCAGCCCACCATTATACATAAGGTTTTCATTATTGTTACATATTGCACTAGCTGGTATAATTTGATAGCACCTAATAAGAATATCACCACGTAGTTGTAAGTTACCAATTTGATATAAAAATTGTCTTGTTGTTATTGGAATAATATGAATATCCGATGTGTATACGCAACGTAAACCTTCATAAATTTTTATGAAACTATTCCATTCACTTTCCGAAGACAATACGTTGTATTGCAACCAAGATGGTGGAGATTCAATTGATATACATTTTAAATTTAATGCTGATGAGTTCATTTTGACTCTAGTCGATAACAAACCAGAAAAATATTGTATATAACGTCTATGGGATGGAATTCGAAGTGGACCGATAAAATCTTCCAAAAATTTTTTCATTGAGAAAATATCTAAATCAAGCCAATTTTTAATAATGGCATTTTGAGCCCGCAAATCTTCATTTGTCGATGTTCTTGACTCTCGATTTGCCTGATCTTGACTAGTTCGACTACTATTAGTTCTTGACGTCGTTGAAAAACTAGATGCACATATGTCTAAATATTCAAGATATGCTGCAATAGTTGCACCCAGTCGTTGTCTATTATCTCTAAAAATACATAAAAGTAAAAAACAATAATGTAGATATTTCCTATAAGGAGAAACTTTGGTGAGTTATTCTTAAACAGTGCAAATGCATAAAATATTGCAATGTTTTCCATGCTTCTATTTTAAAAAAGTTGCTTTTAATATTGACTAACCAGAGTCAATTTAATATTGACTAACCAGAGTCAATATTAAAAGCAACTATATCAAAAAATAATGAGTGTTACCCACGAAATTGTTTTAATTAACAGAAGAAATTGAAAAAATAAAATCTCTTTGTTGATATGATTTAAGAACTCACAAAAATTTCAAAGCTATATACTCGTTTTCGAGTCACAGCCTGTTGAAAAAAGTTACCGGTCTTTCCCGGTATATAAATAAATGCTTCTTTAAAACTTCAGAACCATTTAACATTAGATTATGTCCTAAAATGCATTTTTCACATGTTTTTTGAACACATTTAACACGTTTTACTGGCAAAACTATGAGAGATAGAGGAAAATGTTATACGGGTTAACTTTTAGACGAGTTTTGTAAAAAACAATTGCAAAAAAAAATTACTTTGTAAAACAATTCAGATACAATGCTTAGTTATTTAATTTTAACAATTTTTTTTAATTATAAAAAATAAAACCGTTGTGCATTTAATTACAAGTCTACATACTGAAAATCAGAATTTAAGTTTCTACATTTTTTAATGACCGCGTTGCGTTCAATATGGGAAGTTATATGATAGCGCCAAATTTCACATAACCAGTTTTCGGCGGAAAATCTTTTCTCCATTTTGAAGAAGCAAAATAAACTATTTTTAAATAGATGTCTATCTGCTAGTCTGTCTGTTTGTCTCTATACGCCTGTATCTCAAGTTCGACTGAATCGATTTTCACGAACATTTATGTCTTACTTTCTTAATTTACTTTAGAATGGTTTGATCAAATTTTTGATTATATCAGATCTCTAGAACTGGATCTTTACTACTTATCAACTGATTTTTCTGAAATTTTATATATAAATACAAACATATCATCTAACTTTTAAAAGAAATAAAGTGTCAGCTAATGAATTTTTACTATGCAGGTCAAATTTATATTTCTGCTCATATACAGAGAAATAATTAGCAAATTCTTTTCAAAACTCGTATTACAACTTTAATTATTGAAACTAGTTCAGTAAAAATATAAATTCAGCAATTCAAGAGTAATTCGAGACTATCAAAGCTCGAAAACAGAACTTTTACGAAGTGAATACTCTGTATTTATACATTGAGCGAATATTTGAGCTCTGGCTGTTTTGTTAAAAAAAATAATTGTTTTGTGTTTAAGTCAAACATTTATGTTTAGGTCAAACATTTTACATAACTTGAAATTAACGAATGCATATACAGATACATATTTTTCAGACAGAACAAATTTTCGACTTAAAAATTAAATTTAAAAATTATACATAATAAAACTTATTAGTAATAATACACCATTAAAAATGAATATAAACAATGAAAAAATAAAACAAGAATTTGTTAAAATAAAGAAAAGGGTTATAAGTAAATAAAAGCTTTTTCATCGTGTCTTTCTTCAGTGAAAAGTCAAATCTGTGTTTGTGTTTGTTGCATAAACGCAGCATTCTGCTGACAGGTTCATGTTTCCCATAATTGGTCCTATGCAAAGAAACCATGGAAAGATCAGGGGAATGAGACCTAGGGTTGGAGTTAATCACAATTTTATTTAAAATGTCGGGAGAGATTAAGTCTGTTTTCATAAGCTGAAAAATGAATAACAAATCCGCGACGTCACGTCTTTTACCCAGTGTGGCTAGGTCAGTTAGTTTGAGTCTGAACTCGTAAGGTGGAAGAATGATGGAAAAGTCTTCCCAAGGAAGAAGGCGCAGTGCGAGCCTCAAAAAATTTTTTTGAATAGACTCAATCCTATTAATATGTATATCGTAATAGGGTGACCATACTTGTGAAGCATATTCAAGATGAGGACGGACCAGGCATGTTTAGAGCGATTTTAAGACATAAGGATCATTAAACTCCTTTGACTTGCTATCGAAGCAAACACCAAGGCCCATTATTGAATCAACTCGACTAAGAGCTTGGCCATTCAAAGTATAGTTTGTAAAAAATGGCCGTTTTTGCCTAGAATAGCAAATTTATGCACATTTACTTACATTGATTTTTAGGTTATTACTTTAGCACCACCCGTAGAAGCGGTTAAGATCATTCTGAAGATACATCGCATCATTTGCAGAGCTTATTTTATTGAAAATTTTCATGTCATCACCATATATTAATACCTTACTGTGCGTAAGCATGGAAGCAACATCATTAATTAAAATTGTGAACAGCAGTGGACCTAAGTTACTGCCCTGGTACACTAGAATTAGATGAAAGAGGCGAGGAAATAGCTGAACGAAGGAGGACTCTGTAAGTCCTGCAGAGAGATATAACTTTATCCGTGCTAAGAAGTTGTCAGGGAATCCCAAGAGTTTCAATTTTAAAATAATAATTTCATGTGGTAGTATGTCAAAGGCTTCGCTAAAGTCTGTGTAAATTACGTCCGTCTGATACCCATTTTCCATATTATTTCAGAAAACTGTTGTGGCTTCGACTAGATTAATCACCGTGGATTTCTTTTCCAAGAAGCCATGCTGACGCGCACTAATGAATGGCATTCAATGGAAATAAATATTGTCAAATACCATCAACTCAAAAACCTTAGGAATTGCCGACAATTTAGATATAGGACGATAGTTTGACACGTCATTTTTATTGTTTTTCTTATGGATTGGCCTAATGAAAGCTTCCTTCCACACAGACGGGAAAGTACCCGAAGAATAAAACTTATTAAAAATTAAGATTAAGATGGGCGCCAGAGAAAAGCAGCATCTGCTTAAAATAATCTCAGTACCTCCATCCGGTCCAGGAGAAGGACTAGAATTCAAATTAGAAAGATATTTTTCAACCGCAAAACAGTTCGTGGCAAAATTTGTAAAGGTAGTTTTAGGATAGTTATCAATGTGCCGAAAGTCGTCAACATCTAATTGAAAAGATGAAAAAGAGATTCGACGAAAAAGTTACGAAAAAATTCGGAAATAGTTTGGGAATTATTACTTGTATTCCCTTCGAATTTCAAGAAGGTTGGATAACTATCACTTTTCCTCTTATGGTTTATGAACTTCCATAAACATAATCCAAGACTTTGGGATTACGTATTAAGTTATCAGAAGTTTTATAGATATAGTAGTCGTAACGTTCTTTTGCTGCTAATTTAAATCGTCTTTAGTGGAGAGATATTTGCGCCACAGCTCATTCTTTTTGTTGCGAACTACCCTCAACTCTTGTGAAAACCATGGAAGGCCAGAGCCAGTATCTTTAGTTTTCAACACTGGAATAAACAATTCAAATGCAGCAAAAATGATTTCGTAAAACTTACCCGTCATAGACTCAATATCAATAAAGTTAAATACTGAAGAGAAGTTGTAAGTAGAAAAGAAATCATTTAGCAATGCGAAATTCGCCCTTTTAAAATCAAAACGATAGAAAAGGGGCTCGTCAATAAATGTTTGGTCGTCAATGCAATAAGAGAAAGATATCGGAGGATGATAGATATCAACGTTAACCAACGGATCCGAGACAGTTATAGGTAAACATTTATACCAATTGGAAGTAAAGACTAGATCCAGTTGCCTCCATTGATGGTTTGTTATTGAGGATATTTGTTGCAAATTATTTAAATGAAAGGTATCTATAAAAGACAACTCCAACTCACTAGAAGTCAATTGAAATCAAAAATGGTTACTCATCATGAGTCACCCACATAATTTTGGGGAGATTAAAATCTCCAAAAACAAAAACCTCATCCTCAGGGTTAAAAGAATTGCATAAATAATCAATTGCCGAAGAAAATTTTGCATATAACTTATTACTTGAGTTAGGCGGTATATAGCAATTGACTAAGAAAAGCGTTTTGGAATTCAGCTCAATTTTAACTACGATGACTTCAAGATTATCGGAGACTTGAATGTCAATAATACTAGCTGATAACGAGTTTTTAACGGCGCTTAATACCCTGCCTCCCTTTGGTGTGTGTCCCTGCAAGAGAAGCACATGTCGGTCCTTTCTAAAAACAGAAAATGAAGAGTTGAATAATTCAAGATTATTGATGGAGGGGGACAATCAAGTTTCCGTTAGAACATAAATATCACAGTCAAGAAGAGAAGAGTTAAACAGAACGGTGTTAGTTTTAGTCCTTAGTCCACGAACATTTTGATAGTACATAGAAAGTTATTTCACAGTCCTTGTCATACTATTTCCAAAGCCAGTTAATTGGACCAAGTTATTGTTGTTATGAAAGCTACTTGAACCATCTAGACGATTAGGCTGAGATCGTCGGAAGAAAAAACTTGTTGCTTGCCTCCCTCATCCTCTGTCCTGTCTGAAAGAACCTGTCTAGTATCCTTGTATATGCGAGAAGAATCAGTGCGTTGGGAGGAAAATAAGGGAAAAGAAAATAATAAGATTTGATTCAGCTAGTGCGAGGTCATCTAATTTTAATAATTAAATTCAATTTCTCACTGATTTAAATTTCTAAAAGTATTTACATGCGATTTCGTTTAATATTGATATGCAACAACTTTTGAATTATGTAATTTAAAATTCTATGCTTAAAAAATATTTACTGGACACTTAAAGTATTTATTTGAATATTGATAATAATTAACGCAGGCGAATGTAATGGTTGCGCGCAGAACAAATGCAAACGATCAGATCCTTTTCAATTGTATACTGATTTGTTTAAATTTTGATGAAAATAATTTTTTAAAGATAGGTACATGTATACAAAAACTTTTCAAATTAGTAAGGTTAACAAAAGTAAACGCGTTTGTCTGTATTTCTAGACCTGTCTGCTTAACCAACGCGACTTTCTTTTAATGCACGCTGTGCTCATTGCAATGCTCTAGTACAAAGTCCCAGTAGAGTCTATAAAAAATTCGGCTTATGATCATGCATCACATACTGTATAACAATTAAATTTGTAATGTGAATTATCAAAAAAAAATTTTTTTGAGGACTTTAAAAAATTTAGTATCGTATGATTTGTTGCCAAAGTTGGAAATTAAATTCATTTTACTTCTAAAAAAACCTTCTACCAGAAATAAAGCAAAGTATCCTTGAGTATTTTATTATACAAAAATGTTACCCAAATTATTAAAAATTATTAAAAACGTCTATATAAACGTCTATGTTACGTACCTGTCTTGCAGCACAACGACCTTTTCTTGACCGCTTCCCAACCATTTATCGATACGTTTACAGAGTTCACAAATTCTTTCCAAAGTTATTACTGAAATACATGACTCCAGATCAAAAACACGGTAATTCTAGATGGAATGATAACAAAACATAAAAAATAAAAAGAAAATTTTTATAAAACTAATAAACATGAAAAACAGAATTTTTACAGAATTAGATTATAGGGATAGGTATATTATAATGTTTTTTTGTAATCTTCTTGGATTCACAGCATACGTAAAGTTATAATGGGAACTCCCCAATATGTCACAGATTTATGTAATAATTGAGATCAGTCCCGCATTCATAATCGTCATTACCCAAACATCATAAATTTAAGTATTATGTTACCAACGCAGTACTGGAATTTTCTAAATTAGGAATTTTGATTTAAGAATAATAAGTAATAATAACAAATTTCTGATTTTTCAAAGTTAACCAAACAACAAGTGATTGTTAAGATATGGTAAAATTTCGATAATTTACCTTTCCGTGTTTTTGTTCTAGCATCAATATCACTTCTTTTTCATATTCATCTTGAAGTTGACCTTCCATATGAGGTCCTTGTAGTAGTACATCTTCTTCGATATTTCTATCTCTGGCTGGTAATATTGAAGCCAAAATCCTTTGCGTAACATAATGAAGTCGTAAATTATCTGCTATGTTCGAACTACTCTGATAATGATGTCGTTTTGATTGAATAGGAAACTGAAATAATATAATCGAATTTATACTTTAATTAATTGAATGTTTTTTATGAGAAAAACAGAAAAATTTACTTTTAAATTACTATTAACAATTTAAATATTATTTTCAATAGTACAATTTATTTAAATTTAATTTTCAAAATTAGATTATTATAAATTGATAACTAAGTGAACGCATCAATGCAAAATAAAAACAAAAATTTTTAAATATACGATTGGATGACTTCATTATTTTAGAATTTATTTTCAAATACTGAATGTGTAGAATAACACACCTAATTAAAAAAATCTGATGTGGTCAGCACATAACCGACCCCAATGTGTATTGTCTAGTTAAGTGAAAGTGTTACAGAATATTATAAAAATGTCTGTTAAATACTTCTTTCCAATTTTTAGGACATTAATAAGCTTATAGTTAACATAACTAGAAAAATGTAAATTTGGCTCTTAGTAGAGTTTCGCATTGTACTACCCGAATTCACTGAAATGCTCGCCAGTTAGTTTCGGTAACAACCAGAACTTAAGTATCAAATTTCAAGAAATTCCATCAATTCGTTCCGTAGATATGATGAAATATGTAAAATCGGCCCGCAGATCAGTTTTCGAGCCCTGATCTTTCCAAAAAATTTATTTATTTCTCTTTATATACGCAAAAATGCATATTTGGCCCGTAGTAAACGTCCAGTTGTTGACACCTGATTTTTTCCAAAAGTTAGAAGGTTTCGCGGACAGTCTAACTGAACTTATATATGAAATTTCAAGTAAATCGGTTGAATATTTTCTTCAAAATGTTCGAAAGTGTAAAACAGGCCCGCTAAAAAGTGCAGTTCCCGAGGCCTGATATATCCCAAAAGTTGATCAATTCGTTCCATGATGGAAATAAACTTACATATAAAATTTCATCAAAATCCGTTCAGCCGAACTTGAGATACACGCGTGCACACACAGACAGACCAACAGGTTGCTAAAAATAGTTTATTTACACTTCCCCACTATGGAGAAGTGCATTCCCACCGAAAACTCGATATATAAAATTTGTTGCCATCACATAACCTACCTATTGTATACACAATACGGTCGGTAATAAAATAATTTTAAGAACAGAATCAACTAACCCCTATTCATTAAATACAAATAACCTATAATTGTTCTATTCTGATTATTGAAATATACGTTGAACAAATTTATTTTAGATCCACCAAAACATAATTTTATCGTGACAAAATTTTGGAACAGCCATTTAATTTCAATCTCAGTTTATTATTGTTGGTGAAACAATCTCGCATTGTGAAGGATGCCTATATTAATAGCCTATATCAACATGACATGTTAATTCGTATAATAGTAATAAGTACACTATGTAATAGTTCCATATAAATTATCCTCATTATTTCACGCAATATTTTCTGCCAGTCTACGAAGATTTATTAGTATACTTAAATATCAGTTACACGTTGATCGTTTCAGATTTCTATTTTACAAAGTATACATTTTTATACGCACTTTCGAATAAAGCAAATACGACCAAATTTTCACAAGTTGTTTCTTTTGTGTCAAAGACGGGTTCGATCAAAGATTCTATATATTCGGAAAAATAATAAAGCTAGACTCATAAAACTGGGAAGTCATGTGTCCAATTATTAGTCAGAGATAGTCTCAAAGTTTTTATGGAATGACTTAGCAGGTTTGGGTAGCTGACATGCAAATACAAAAATTAAATTTATAAATATTTGAAAAAATAATAGAGTTAGATTTGTCAACTTTGTGTTACTTATATAAGTGAAGCTTTTGTGGAATGATCTGACCGGTTCGAGTAACTACAATGCAACCCTGAAAACTAATTCCAAATATTTCAAAAGCACGTCTTTATAATCAGATTATATGCAAGGTACATGATATACATAATTCTGTCGGTTTAGATCGACTGAAATATTTTTACTTGTTAATTTCTTCTGAGATGCAAAGCGTAGTAGATTCTAGCATTTGAACTTCAAATTTTAATAGACTTAGATAATTTGAAAGATTTAAGCAGCATAAACTTTTAAAGACCTCATAGAATTGGATTTTGGAAACGTTGTTTTTTTGATTCTCCCAAAGCACTGATCACAACACAAGTTTCTTGACTAATCACAATATATGTATGTTATTACGTCACGAAGTACGTATATGATTTCCATTAAAAAACTGTTTCTACTGAAATCCGAATTTTTATTATAAAACATTAAAATTCAAAGTCATTAAAAAATTCAATTTGAATGTTGAATTATTTTGTATACTAGTTTGACTATTTTTACACGCACTTTCGAATAAAGCAAATACGACCAAATTTTTCTATTAAATTATCTAAGTCTATTAAAATTTGAAGGACAAATGCTCGAATCTACTACGCATATGCATCTCAAAAGAAATTAACAAGTAAAAATATTTTAGTCGATCTAAACCGACAGAATTATACCATGTACCTTGCCTATAATCTGATTATAAAGACGTGTTTTTGAAATATTTGGAATTAATTCTCTGGGTTGTATTGTAGTTACTCGAACCTGTCAGATCATATAGTCGTTACAAGTTATTACAACAATTCGGGATAAATCGGATGGAGTGGCTTATGTGATGGCAACAAATTTTGCATATGGAGTTTCCGGTGGGAACGCACTTCTACGTGGTAGGGAAGTGTAGATGAACTATTTTTAGCAATCTGTCGGTCTGTCTGTGTGTGCACGCGTGTATCTCAAGTTCGGCTGAACCGATTTTGATGAAATTTTATATGTAAGTTTATTTCCACCATGGCACGGATCGATCAACTTTTGGTATATATCAGGCCTCGGGAACTGCACTTTTTAGCGGGCCTGTTTTACATTTTCGGCCATTTTGAAGAAATTATTCAAACGATTTACTTGAAATTTCATATATAAGCTCCGCTCGACCGTCCGCGGAACCTCCTAACTTTTGGAAGAAACCACCTGTCAGCAACTGGACGTTTACTACGGGCCAAATATACAATTTTGCGTATATAAAGATAAATAATCAACCGATGTCATTGAAATTTATTATTTAAATTCTTCGTACTAAAACAATGAAGATATAAATTTTTTGGAAAGATCAGGGCTCGAAGACTGATCTGCGAGCTGATTGATCTGCGACTGATCTGAGACGAATTGATGGAATTTCTTGAAATTTGATATTTGAGTTCTGGTTGTTATCAAAACTAACTGGCGAGCATTTCAGGAAATCCGGGTGGCACAAAGCGAAACTCTACTAAGAACCAAATTTACATTTTTCTAGGTATGTTAAGTATAAGCATACTAATGTTCTAAAAATTGGAAAGAAGTATTTAACAGACATTTTTTTGATATTCTGTAACAATTTCACTTAACTAGACAATATACATTGCGGTCGGTTATGTGCTGATCACATTACATTTTTTATTTTGTCGTTATTAGTGGAAGTTTTTAAATCTTTCATTACTAAGTTTTAAATCAAATAAAAATTTTTGTGTGCAGGAAGCACAAATGATACTCAAATATTAAAGGTATACAGCGTAAAAATTAGATAAATCATATTTTTGTCGAAAGCATACATATATACGAGTATATTAACCATCAAATAGGTTACATTGAAGAAGACCATAATAAAATTTTAAAACAGTAACACCATCTTAAATCGGATAATTAAACATTTAACGAAAAAAAATGCTACTGCATAAAAATATAGTATAAGTTTCAATCAAATTTTATTAGACTAGTAAAACTAATTATGTGGTTTCTGGCTGAAAAGATAGGAGATTTGAAATGATTTAGAGCGATTTCCAACTGAGAATGGTTTATTGTTTTTTTGTAAAAGAAATGAACTTTTATACTCGAAAGTGCTTGAGATTTCAACAAAAAAAGGTATACTTATTGGATGCGGCTTTAGGTACAAGTTCAAGCAAAATATACCAGTCAATTTTATACATACATAATAATTTAAGATAAAGACGTGCCTGCTACTTGGGAAATCCAAAAGATTTAAACTTTGATCCAAAAGATTTAAACAAAAGCATGAAGTGTGAAAGAAAAAGTAAGAAAATTTTTACCCGTTATAGACGTTTATTGAAAATAAAGAAGTATAAAGACCACACACATATATACTTATATACATATACATATATACATATACACATATGTGCATATTTGCATGTACATATGTATATGTATTCTTTAAAGAAATTACAGTATCGAGCTCAAACCATTTTCTATTGTAATTGTGTGTTAACAAAATTCTGAGTTTCTGACTCGCGAAATATATGTACATGCATAGTATACTTTCTTCATTTTGTTATGTTGTAAATTTAAGTATATGAGAGTCAGAAATGTAAAAAGACAAAAAAAAAAGTACAAATAAAAATTTTGTGAATACTAGGTTAGTGGTGAAAAATCCTTTTATAAAAAGTGTAACATTATTTTGTTAGCCTTGAATAAAAATTGAGGTGAGGCCAAAAACAAATAGCTTTAATTACGTTATGTCATGGGTGTGTAACATACTACCTATAAATGTGTGGTATACCTTATGTAACATAACATAAAGAATATAATTAAATGGCATAATAGAAAAATAAGGAAAGGGTTTATTTCAATATTTACTATTTGAGATTTCATTTAAATATGGAATGCTTATAAATACAATTTATACATGTGTATAAATATATATGCATGTAAACATATCTATGTGATTATATTCAAGGTACAATAGTTATAAGTTGCATGTCACCATTTCCTCATTTAAGTGATTGTTGAAAATATTAATTTAAAATTAGGTATTTATATAATACGAGGAAAAATAGAGTTGACCATCATCTCTGTGATATCCGTACGAATTTGTTATCCTATGTGGGAGTAAAGATGCCATAGCTGACTATGGAACAGACTTTAAATTTATGTTGCCGCATTAACATATTACTTTATTCATAATTTCAATTGGATAAGTTGAGCCAAATAACTTTTCAAGTTGTATGGCAGCTACTAGAAGGAGCCAAGCAATTTCAATGACTTTTGTCAAACAAATTGGTCCTGCTAATATATTGCTTGTGCAATCACCACAACTTTAATACTTTTTCAGATATGGCCAAATAACTTTTGAAGTTGTATGGCAGCTACCAGAAGAAGTCAAGCAACTTCAACGACTTTCATCAAACACATTAGCCCTACTAATATATTTGTTTTTGTGAAATTTCAATGACACAGCTTTAATAGTCTTTGTGATATAGTCACATAAATTTTGAAGTTGTATGGCAGCTACCCGAACCAGTACTTTGATCATATCCAATTTATCGATATCGTTGGATGGTCGGTCGGACAAACGGACAGACAAAACTAAATCGACACAGGATTCGACGCTGATCAAAAACCTACACTTGAGTCTATATCTCAGACCACTATATCTTAGCATTACAAATATTAAGGCAAATTTAGTATACCCTTCGAACATACGTTCGTACGGGTATAAAAATTTGTAATAACTGTTAATCATTTAAAGTAGTTAATGATATTCTCATTCTTCGTAAAAGAACAGTGCAAAAATTTGATAAGTCAAGTTATACTTAACGAACTTAGCCTTTAAAAATTCATGTTATATAAATTCTTATGAAGCTTTTTTTGTTATAGCTTTTTTAATATAAAGATTTTAAATGTTAAGATTTTTGTAAAATAAATTTAGAATAAATTTCTGTTAAATATCCCTAATCGACTTTCGTTGTATGTATGTACGCAACTTACCGATTGTGATTTTGGTATATTGTTTTGATCTAGCCTAATATCGTGATCAGTGTAGCTTTTCTGCAAAGAAAAAAAAATTAGTTACTACTTCACATCAATAATATTCAATTTACTTTATTCATAATTATTACTTTATTATAAGATAAAACTACTTTATTCAATTATATCAATTGTTTTTTTTTTTAATGATCTCAATAGTCAATGTATTTACTATTAAATAAATCAAGACTAAGAATTTCAATTTCAAGAGGTTTCTTTTTACCTGAATTTCAATTGGTTCTAATAATAATACGGCGTGTAATATATTAAAAGCAATGCGATATAAAAATGTAGTTATTGAACCTTTTGGCCCCCAAACATCCGAAGGAGTGTACAAGTTTTCACCATTATGCATTGCATATTATTTCTTAAAATTTACAAATGAACTATTAAAAGTTACATTTTAAATAAATAAATACAAATAAAATATAATTTTTTAATTTAATTTTTCAATTTAATCGGTTTCAACAATTGAATATCATAATTAAAATAAAATTTTCATTTTAATAATAAAATATATAATTTTAGATGTGAGATTCGCGGGGGTTCAAAATTTTAAGCAGTTCATATTTTTATGGTATATCTTAATTTATAAATAATCAAATTAATATCATAGGTTAATAAGTATTTCGAAATAAAGCCTGCTCAATAAAAAAAGTTTGCACCTTTTCTTATTTATTGGTTGTTTCAACACTCACAAATTAAAAAATATTTAAAAAATAATTTGCCCTATAAGAATAACTTGGCAAAAAAACAGCTTGTTCCGTGCAAATATCCTAAAATACTAATTTTATTTATTAAATAAATAAGCAAAAATACTTCTGTATTTGACAAAAATAAAAAAATATTTCTTAAAAAAATGTTTCTTCCTTTTTGTCATTTTTTTTTGTTTTTATTTAACTCATAATACGCACATTTCGCTGCCTTTGATGAGAATTATTCTTCGTCTACTTGTGAACAAAATTTATGGTTGGAGAGTAGAAATGTCCACAACAGGCGTGCTTCTGATACGAGTTCACAAAAAATCGAAAAAGACCTGGCTGACTTATGCAAATAAACTAAGGAGGCCAATTAAAGTAATAGACAGAAGTCTACATCCATTATATGGACTTAAGGTTATTAATTGCGAACTTATCCATAGGGGATTCAAAAGTTAAAATGTCATAAATAAAATTAAAAAGATAAAAGAAAATGACGTGAATAATATTAAAAAATTTCCTCTCTTCATATTATCCTTTGATTATACCGAAGACATAAATAAAATACATAAAATAGAATATCTTCAACACATTGGAGTAAAAGTTGAGCCTCCAAGGAGTAATGTGTCCATCCCTCAATGCGATAGCTGCCAGAGGTTTGGACTTAGACAAAGATTTTGCTAAGGAAGTGCTAAATGACAAAAGATAATTTCCAAGCCCGGTGTCCAAACTGTAACGAGGCATACCCTGCTAGTTACCGAGGCTGTTTATTGACTATAAAATTAGAAAAAAGGAGAATGAAAAGGTATCGACCTAAACGGATCCTAGGTAATCATGAAAGGAACCCAAGAACGATTAATGCTTTTACATTAAGTAAGGAAAAAAATTGTGTTACATGCTCACAAATAGCTTTAAAAATTCCAGAAGGTTATATATATAAAAAACCTAAGAAAGGCATGAAAACTAAAGAAATCGACAATATACAGTCCAAAAACCTAAAGTAATTGACAGAAGCATAATGCAAAGGATGTAAGACATGCTTCAAAGAATTGGCGAAATCTGAGTGATATTAACTACTATGCTGACACTAAAGTATAGCAACCCTGAAGTGATTTCTAAAAAATGTTAGCAATGAAATATGAATTGGTACGTGGAACGCCAATGCCGTTCTTAGTAGAAAGCAAAAATTTGAGGTTTTTCTTAGAGTTAAAAATATCGACGTATGTCCATTGTCAAAAACACGCTTGAGGAAGGATTTGGATGTGTTCGGTCATAGATGTTTTAGGGCAACTCATCTTTTTAACAATTCAAGGGTAGCTCACCTTTTTGACAATTCAAGTCTCTTACAAAACTTAAACTATGAAGTTTAGGATAAAGTTTAAGTTTTGTAAGAGTCTAGTTTTGTTCTATTTACAATTTGTGTTAATTTATTTTATTTTTTTAATTATTTATATGTTATTTATTAAAAAATATTAACTGACGATATTAAAAATTTTATTATATTCAGTTGTTAGAGCTATTGAGTTACTAAATTATGTTAAACGTAAATTAAAATTTGTTCAATAACTTAATCCCAGATGAAGATTTAAAATTAAATCGAAACGTTGACTTTGAAGTAGACTTTGAACAGAGTAGACTTTGAAGATGAGACAGCTTTAATCAACGAATTAGAAATACTAAAGGAAGGAGCATCTTTGTTTTTACCTCGCTTACACTCCCTAAAAAAACGTATTTTAAAAAAAAACATAGTGAAGTAAAAAACTTCAGATAAATCTCTTTCTTTGCTCCGAACATTGTCAAACTGAACTTAACATTAAATGTCAAATGTTATTATTTTTTTTTAGAAAATTACGCGTCTCTATAAAAAGTAAACAAAGACTTTTGTCACTTTTTTTATAAAATTTGTGCAGTTAAAAATAAAAATAAAAAATCTATTAAATAAAAAACCTTAAAATATTTAATAAGAAGAAAAAGGTGTATAGTTCTGAATTGCAAAAACAAATAGCTTTTTTTACACCATATACATATGAATATTATTCATTTTAATAATTAAAAAAAATATCTATTAGTTATTACTTAATTAAATTAAGTTCTGATTAATTCATAATTTCTAATTTTATAAAGTTTTTAATTTTGCAAAGAAAACACGTGTTTTTGCTTTGTTTTAAACTAAAATTACTTCGGATGCCATAATTTTACCAGGACCGGTTTTTTCTTTAAGCAAAATGAGTTTGTGCTTGATAAAATGGAGCAGACAAACAAATATTTTAAATTTTTTTTTTTTGCATAAATATTTTAAATTATTTTTTTTTTGCATTGAAAACTGTAAAGTTTTCCTAGAAATGATGAAATAAAATTATAAAATGAGATATATTTTCCTTTATAGGGCGAAGATTTGGTCACCAAAAAAATAAATGAAGACGTAAAAATAAATGAAGAAGAAGATGGCGTAAAAAATAATCAGTTTTGTTTAAATTTGATTTTTTTTTACAGGTATTTAAAATGAAAAAAAATATTTTAAAATATTTTTTAGTTTTTGCTTTAAAAACATTTTTTAACTTATCCTTCTTATAGACAAGAAAGTGAAATAAATACGCTCCTATTACAACTTTGTTAATGCTCAGAGCAAAGAATGAGACGACTAGAAAATTTTGGCTTCATTGTTTTTTCAAGATTCTCCTTCCTTTAGCATTTCTAATTCGTTGGTTTTGTCAACGTTTAGGATATGTTAGATCTCTTTTTGAGGAAATCAGATGTCTTTTACTAAGAACCTAATTTACATTTTCTCTCATATACTGAGAAATAATTAAAGGTTTTTAAAGCAAGCTAAAAAAAGTTTGTGCCTGTTCAATTTTTAGATATATTGCGTGTACATGTACAGATACAAAATATTGTGGCATAACGTCGTTACAAAATATCGCGTCCCAACAAAACATAATCCTATTATAAAACATAAAACGTTACTACAATATTACGTATAATACAATAACGTTTTATGTTAGTTTGAAAAATATTATATTTAACTTGGAAGTAAATCTTATACTTATATATAAGTTTTGTTTCTGATTTAGTGGCATGTTACTTTTTATATTTTCGCTTGTGTGAACATTCAATATAACAGCTTTTATAGTTTCTGAGATAAGCCAAAAAACTTTTGAAGTTGTATGGCAGCTACCAGAAGGAGCCAAGCAATTTCAACGAGTTTTATCAAACACATTGGCCCTACTAATATAGTCGCTTGTGGGAAATTTCAATATCATAACTTTATTTTATAGTTTCTAATATACAGTTAAATAAATTTTCAAATTATATGGCAGCTACTCGAACCAGTATCCTGACCATATCCAATTTAAATAGGGTTCTGCCATTTACTATAATAAATCATTTGTAAAAATTTGGTGAACATAGCTCAATTGGTTTTTGAATATTAAAGTGAACGTAGCTCAATTGGGACGGACGGCCGGACGGACAGACGAACCGACAGATAAAGCTAAATCGACTCAGAATTCAATGCTGTTCAAAAACATACACTTGAGTCTATATGTCAAACCATAATTTCTTACCGTTACAAACGGTAACGGTAAAATTATTATACCCTTCGAACATACGTTTGTACGGGTATAAAAACATAGTTATCGTGCAGATATGGATATTTTCGAGCTACAATCTGTTGAAGAAAATTGGTCCCAGATTTTCCTTTTTTACAAATAAATAGTGCTAATAACTTCGGAACCCTTCAAAATATAGATAGTATTTGTCAAGCACTTATTTTAGAAGAAATTGACTGTCTCTTTATTATTGTTCTTTTCAGGGCAAAGCTCGCTATATGTATAGATACTTTGACGTTTTTTGCAAAATAAAAGAAAAGTGCATAAGTTTAAAAAAATATCAACAGATGCTAAAAATTAATTTTTTTATTAAAAATTTGTAATATTTAAGATTTATAGTGTTTAAAATCAATAAAAATCGACAATAGTAACAAATTTTTGAGTTTATAAATTGCTACACAAGAAGATATAATCGCTTAATTTTTCAACGTTAAATAACTTAAAATAAAGCTTAGAAAAATGGGAAAAGTTCTGCATAAAAAATTTTAAAGTTTAAAAAAATTTTCTATGAAGTTATCGGGTTAAAAACAATTAAAAAAAGGGGATATGAGTGATTTTTTCAAAAATTTGAATGCTTAATATTCCAAAGGTACATTAAATACAAAATCAAGTAATATGTTGATTAAGGCCTTTTACTAACCGATTTACAAATTCTTTTGTTTGATGCTTTCGCTTTTTCTGAGGGAAATTTGTGAAAAATTCATTAACATCTCGG